AGTCGTGGTATTGAAGGTGGGAGAGAGTGCTGTACATTCACTCCCCCCACCTACAATCCCTGCCGGTACGAGACTCAAACCCGCAACCTTCGGGTTACGAGTCCGACTCTCTAACCATTACGCCACGACTTCCCCCAATGTTCTTTGGTGTAGAAGTTACACCTCAAAAACAATGTTCTTTCATCAGAAAGTAAAAGTTTTTTACAGTGCGTGTACAGTCAAACTTTTAAAGTATGCTCCATGCGTGAACACAGACGTTCAACACACAAGCACATTTCATTCTTGTCCAGGGTCTGCGCTATTCCTTTTTAAAAGTTATGAGTGTTTAAAAAAAAAATAGAATAGAATTGCGTGCATCACGCAATCCCCTGACATGAGCGCTCGTTAATCCGGGCGTCTTTTGTTGTTGCCGTGTTGTCGTTATTCTGTTTCCTCCATTACTTTTCAACTGTGAACAACAGTGTTATCACCATGTAAACAAACTAATTAGTGCAAAAGGCACATATGCAAGCAGCACATACAGTATGCATGGGGCCTTGTGTGTTTGATGGTGAAAATTTGTTCCTTGTGCTCTGTATGCATACCCTAACGTACATGTAAAAACAAAAGTATATTTTGGCCTTAACAACTTGCTCCATCCCTCATTGGAGGATATCATCAAGCTCTTTCTTTTCACAATCCTGTCAATTCCCAATCAACTTCATTTAAACATTTGTAAAATTGGGTGCATGTTCACATCTCATGTTGACTTGACCTGCAATTTTCATTTTAAGGTCTGAGTGTTTATCTCTAGTGCAGGGGTAGGCAAGTTCGGTCCTAGAGAGCCGCAGTCCTGCAGGGTTCACCTCCAACCCTGAAAAGAAAACTCACCTGCCTATAGCCTTAGTAATCCTGAAGACATTGATTAGCTTGTTCAGGTGTGTCTGATTAGGGTTGGAGCTGAACTCTGCAGGACTCTCTAGGACCGAACTTGCCTACCCCTGCTCTAGTGAATTATGATTCAGACTCTCAGGAGCTTTTTATGTTGCTGTGTGCAATTTAGTTCCTGAAGAGCAATCCCAGCATAATCAAGTTGATGTCTCCTGTAGTAGCGTTCTTTAGCATGATCATTTCATCCTGGTTTCTACTCGTTGTAATTCCCTTAGACAGGAGATCAATTCTGCTAAATCTACCCAGGGAAACATTAGTATTGGCTTTTTCTGCAACACTAGTTTGGTTTGCGAAACCAGTGTGGCGTACGCATGATATTAAAACATCCCTGTAAGGTAAAGTGTTCACATATATTAAAGGAGACTTATTATGCCCCTTTTTACAATATGTAATATAAGTCTCTGGTGTCCCCAGAATGTGTCTGTGAAGTTTCAGCTCAAAATACTCCACAGATCATTTATTATAACATTTTGAAAATGCCTATTTTGAGTGGAAGCAGAAAAACGCTGTTTTTCGGGCCTGTCTCTTTAAATGCAAATGAGCTGCTGCTCGTACCTGCTAGAAAAACATCTGTTTTGGTTCTGATTATCATGTTTATCGCGCTGAAATCATGCATTTTAAACCATATGAGTTTAAACTTCTGATATACGTTTTTCTGAGCGCACACATCCGAAGCACACGGACAGAAAGCGGCTGTCACAGCATGTGAGTACTAAACTAAGTTCTCATTCACACACAAGTTTATTAAAAACACACGAGTTACAAAAACAGTCGGTTATGTCTGTGAAGGTAAACTGCTGGGAAATAAATCGCATGTTTATTGTAGATCTGTGTGGCAGCAGATATATATATTAAATAAATCAATAAATCCACTGCTCTCATCTCCTTTGAGGCTGGGACTCTAAACAGTGTTCTGTGCTCGTCTGTGTAGCCAAAGACAGAACAGTTAGCATGTTTTGCTCACAAACTTTCGCCGTGGCATTAGAACTAGTACGCCGTTGTCGCTTGCGAAATCAAAATGACGGCGCCGTGGGTGTAAACTTACAAATTAAGGGGCGGTAATATTATAATGAGATCCCTTTGCCACGTCACCAAGGGAGCGAAATCAGACGCGCTCGTTTTCTCAGACGCTTGCAGAAAAAGGCTTACCAAAACAAAGTTACTGGGTTAATCTTTTCGTTTTTCCTTGGTTGGTAGATGCACCGGGGACCTGATTATAGCACTTAAAACCTGGAAAAGTCAGATTTTCATGATATGTCACCTTTAAATAGGGATGTCTGTGTATCTTCTTCCTGCCAGTGTCTACGACATGGAAAATGTTTGATAAGATGATATTTGTTGTGTGAGTGCTCGCAAGCCTTCTCACTGGTGCATTAGTATGATTCAGCATGTGTGCGTGCATTTTTTTGATTATTGAAATGTGGAAAAAAAAATGGTGTGACCTTTAGAGAAGTCCCATTTTCAAAGTGTTGAGTGTGAAGTGGAGGCGTTCTTTTTCCTACCCGAGGGATTTGATGAAGGAATAGATTATAGCACATTATCAACCTCTTTAGGATAGTAGAGATATAGCGCTCTCTCTCCTTTCACCTTTTTCTCTCAGACTGTGTCCTTACTGCTGCAGAGTGTATGATTTTATAGAAAGGAAAGAAGCATGTGTGTATGAAAAATAGTAGGTCCAGCAGCACACCAGATGTAGGCCTACTTAAAGTCAGTTAAACCCATTTCAGATGGATAATCTGATGTATTTCCAAGTGAAACAGGATGTCAGAAACAATTATCTGTTGTCATTATTCTTGAACGTATTTGTGCATTGACTAGGGCAGTCTAAAAAATGATTTGTGCTTACCATTGCTGTCAGATTTTATTCATGATTTGAATATTTAATTATTTAATTTCATTTCATTCAAATTATGTCCAGAAAGTTAAAGGGGTCTCTCTCAGCAGGTGCACTGCTGTTATGCACTTCCAGCGAAATGGATAAGTACACACTCAAATTAATAAAAAGCATACCATTTTTTACTTTATTCAAAAATCAGTGACTGATGCAATCTTTGTTATGGAATATACTTGTTTGTTCACACAGTTCACAACATTTCTTTCCCCTTTAATTTCACGATCTTAAAAGATCTCCGTTCTCACTTTCATACTAAACACATTACACTTACACTTTCATATATTCTATTAAAGTCAATGATAAAACTCAAATGGAACCATTTTAATATCATATAAAACACAATATCTGAGCTGTCAGCAGAAATAGAAACCATCCCAAAAATAGAATCCCCTGTCGTCAATGTGGACCGCAGTTGCTTCTGTTGTTTTAGGACAAAAACTGATTAACATAGAAAAGATACACCCTTTATTGCGTCTCACGTCTGGTAAGGAAACAGTGTAAGCGGTTGGGATTTCATTTTAGCTTTTGAGATTTGTTTGGATGGTAAAAGAGGTGGAATGTGTTAGGCTATGGTGTGATTGGTTATAAATATGTTTCAACACCCACATGGCCTCAGTTACTTTAGAAGAAAGGTTAGAACATG